ATTGAATATTGGCATTTTATATGGTTGCACTTAATACATTGGAGGAGGGTAAAAGTTTGGAGAATTCTTACTTTGTAATAGAATTGTCTGCATTGACACTTATAGCAGAAATCTATTTCTTTCATGCACAAACTTTTGCTATTATTCCAATATTCTAGAAGCCGCTAGGTGTCACTAGAATACAGTACAAGAGTTCCATTTGGGGCGGCGTGAGGTGAGAACTACAACACAAATAGTTTTCAATAATCTGTACATGTTCTTTTTTCCTCTCAAAGAAACTAACATCTGAAAGTAATTGGGCCATCATTCTACTATCAGGTAATTGTACTATTGAGGGAAATATCAACAAATTGGGGAAATGCAAGATTAAATCTATTTGTTTCATCAATATTCAGATTATACCATCTCATTGTGTAGTGATGGTTGAGTTAGCTGACCCTGTTAGGTTGATGTTAGTTTTTCCTTATTTGTTTTTATTAAACTCAAAACTCTTCTCTTTCCTGCAATCTGACTGGGATGCTCATAAAATCTACATAAGGCTAACAGAGAAGTTTACAAAAACCTTAGAATGAAAGAAGCAAAGAAATTGTTTCCTTTGGTAGGCCTGACACATTCTGTTCCATGTCCTGGGTAGAAAACATGTGTGGTTTCTTTTCGCACATGCCTGTGTGTAGAAACCATGAAAAACAGTTGCCATCAAGTCAACTCCAACTCATGGCAACCCCATGTATGTCAGAGTAGAACTGTGTTCCATAGGGTTTTCAATAGCTGCTTTTTCAGAAGTAATACCAGGCCTTTCTTCTGAGGCACCTCTGGTAGACTTGAACCTCCAGCCTTTCTGTTCAGCAGTCAAGTGCACTGCACTACCCAGGGACTCCGCATAAACCATACAGAACAATAGAATCATCAATTCAATTTCTTTTCATTGTTCTGTCAAAAAGAGTAATTATTTCATGAGCTTCCTGTTATACCAGAATATGGCTTATAGATTCATCAATTTGGATGTAGTGACATAGGAAGCAGCCTATGATGTGAACCAAAAATCAGGTTGCAGAAAATATGCATAGTATGATCCCATTTTTCTAAAAACAAAAACTTTAGTAATCAAACACATATATATTCTATATGTGTGAAATGAAAAATGTTAGAATCACATTCTGAGGTACAGGACTGAAGAGTGATGACTTAAAACACGTTTGTATTGTTTGAATTTTTTAAATGAGCACATGTTCCTTTTATAATGAATTGTTCAAGTTCATGTATTTTCACCATTCAGTTTCACGGCCTTGAATACATCTCTGGTCTCTGGACTAACAAAATTCTACTCATCTCTTAAGGCACAAAGCAAATGTCTCATTAATATCTCATCAGTTAAAAGTAATTGCTTACTGCACTGTCTTCAGTAGCACCTTGTACTTACCCCTATTGTGGCAATTAACTAAGGCAGCTCTGGTAGCTTTACCTTGGTATTTCCGCACCTCCTGCCTTTAGCACAATACCTGGTCCTTAATAAAAACCAAACCCATTGCATCAATTTTGGCTCATAGTGACCCTATAGGACTGAGTAGAACTGCCCCATAGGGTTTCCAAGAAACGGCTGGTGGATTCGAACTACTGACTTTTTGGTTAGCAGCTGCAGCTCTTAACCAGTAGGCCACCAGGGCTCCCTGGTCTTTAATGGAGCTTAATAAATATTAGATGAATGTTTATGTGCGTGTACTTTTCAGCTCCAGAATTTCTGCTTGGGTCCTTTTTATAATTTGTCTTTTTATTGCTTTCCAAAGACATGCTAACAATACACTGTAGGGACCATTGCAACACATATGAGGAAGACCCAAAACCAAACCCATTGCCATATAGTCGATTCCAACTGACAGTGAACCTCAAGGACAGAGTAGAACTGCCCCACAGGGTTTCCAAGGAGCAGCTGGTGGAATTGAACTGCTGACCTTTTGGTTAGCAGCTGAGCTCTTAACTACTGCACCACCAGGGCTCTCATATAAAGAAAGGCTAATTTATAAAACGTCTTACACATCAAAGAGAAAAATGATACAAACCCAATGAAAATATGAATAAATGACATGAATAGTCAATTCACTTATCCTTTATAATAATACTCAGTGTTGTAAGGGGTATGGGTTCCCATTGGTAACAGATCACGGGGATGGTGCACGACCTGCAAGCATCAGAACAAGGCAGCATTTTGTTCCCTTGTGCATGAGGTCCCCATGAGTTGGGTCCCCGCAAGTCGGGGCCAACTGGAAGGCAGCTAACAAAACGGGCTGTGGGGAAACAGCATAAATTAGTACATCTGTTTTGAAAGCTGTTTAACATCTTTCAAATTTTTAGGGTTCACATTTTAACTGAAAAATTGTTATTATTTTGGCACTCGTGCCACAGAAATAATCACACAACTATGCAAAGATGTATGGACAAAGATATTCACTGCACATTATTTATGACAATGAAAGTTGGAAAGAAATTAAATATCCATCAGAAAAGGGTTGATTTAAATGATATACCCCTGCAATGGAATAATGTGCAGCTAAGAAAAAGAACGAGATACCTCCACATAGCACCACCAGACACCTGGACCACAAAACAATGCTAAGTGTAAAAGCAAGTGAAGAAGCAGTCATATGCTTTTTGAAAAATGTATGTTTGCTTGTGTCTGCACTGAATAAAGTCTAGGGCTGAACACCAACACATTTGGGAATTTTTATCAATTGAGCATGTGCTTACAATTTAAAAATAAATGCTTAAGTGCATTTACATAAAATAAACAGGAAAAACACTATCAAGTGTTTAAGGAATAACAAGGTTTATTTAACAGCCTTGTTCAGCACAGAATTTAAGGGGGATGAAAAAAAACCAAGCTGCAAATAGAGCGTTCTGTTTGAACAAAATGAGTGAATGTGGTTGGGTTGACAGTTTATTATATCCTGTCACTTTTAGCTTTCGCATTAAAGACTCAAGGGGTTTCATTTAGAAAAATGCATTTAATCAAAAAGAAGAGTATTTCAAACCCATCAACCTGTTTATGGAAAATACGCTTTTGTTTGGTTTCCTTTTTCTTTCCCAAAGGAAGCTCACATGATGCCAAGGGTCCATTTTTGCAAAACCCATTGCCTTTGAGTCCATTTCGACTCATATCGACGGTATAGGGCAGAGTAGAACTGCCCCATAGAGTTTCCAAGACTGTACTCTTTACGAAAGCAGACTGCCACACTTTTCTCCCGAGGAGCCCCTGGTGAGTTCAAACCGCTGACCTTTGGGTTAGTGGCCGAGCGCGTAACCACTGCGCCACCAGAGCGCCTTCATTTTTGCAAAGACTTCGGAAAATTCAGTCCAACTGGGAATACTGACCAACATGGAAGATTCGGTTTCCAGCCAGGGTGGACCGAGACTCCGTTCACGGCGGCCAGAGGTGGCCGCACTGTCGCCCGCAGAACCAGGACTGCAAGGGACTCATCAGACTCCAAGCATCGAGCGAGGCGAGAATACGCCTCAGCTCCGGCGCGCGAAGCTGGAGGACTTGTCTAGACCCGGGGGAACCAGACGTAGGAGGCAGGAGGGAGACGCAGCGGCAGGGCCCAAGAGCTGCGGGGAGAACAAGACCCCCTGCCCCCCAGGGATTCCCGAGCATCCCCTACCACGGTCCCTGGGAGCCGGCCTCCACGACCACGGACCCTGGAAGCCCCCCTCCGCTAACACGCCCCCCGTCCCCGGGTCCAGGACCCCCCTACCACGGCCCCATCGCGGCCTAAGGGAGATCTCTGCACTGCCGCGGCCCCCGAGAGCCCCCATCACAGCCCCCGACGTCTACCACTCGGAGGAGGCGGTGGGAGTCTGGCGACGGCCCGCTCGCCCCCCTCAGTACCCTCAGTGCGGGCTCTGGGGGCGCTGCGCGGGCCAGGGTTCGGGGTCCCAGGCGGGGCGAGGGAGAGCGTTTGCGAGGAACAGAGCTGAGGAGTAAAGTTTTGCGCTGTGTTCGTAAAATTGCACTAATTTATTGGTTATTCCACTCCTTTTTTCCCCTAGTGTTAATTGGATTTAATTTTTTATCTATTACAAAAAATGATGGACGTTGTGAAATATTAACCAAAAAAACATGTTCAATATATGTAATTTAGTAAAAAGAAGTGTCTTCACTTTTACGCCCACGGGTCCTTAATTTAGACCCCTGGTGGCACAGCGGTTAAAGCGCTGGGCTGCTAAGCGACAGGTCAGAGGTTCGAACCCACCAGCCGGTTCCAGAGAAAGATGTGGCAGTTTGCTTCTATAAAGATTACCCATTGCCTTCCATTTGGTTCCAACTCATAGCGACCCTATGGCACAGAGTAGAACTCCCCCACAGGGTTTCCAAGCAGCGAATGGTGGATTCAAAACCGCCGACCGTTGGGTTAGCAGCCCAGCTTTTAACCACTGCGCCACCAGAGCTCCCTCGGTAAAGATTACGGCCTTGCAAACCTATGGGGTAGTTTTACTCTGTCCTATAGGGTCGTTATGAGTCGGAGGAGACTCACCTGCAATGCCTTTCCTTTGGTTTGGTTCTTAATTTGGTAATAAGACATGAAGATGCTCAGGTAAGGTTTAAGTGAGGTTAAACCCTACTTAACTGAAAAATTACAGCTATATTCTTACAATCCTAAATTATTTCAGTAAGCGTGCCATTTAAAAATAAGTACATTTTCCTACATAATTCCAATATCGTTTTCGTGATTAACAAGAGGAACTGTAATTTTTCTTACTATTTCTACTACACAGACCACATGCAAATTTCACAGGTATCTTCAACAGTCCAGAAACTGCGAAAGTCACCACAAGCCCGGGCGCGGAGGTTTATGGGAAATGTTTTGAATCGCGCGGGCTGCCTGCGCAGAATGCCGAGACAGGGCTCTCAGATCCTACTGCGCATGTGCAACCGTAGCACCGCCTGCCGCCGTTAGCGTCTCTCGGCTGTGCGGTGAGAGGGCGTCGCCGAGCTTTAGTCTCTACGCGGGAGTAGATGCTGCAGACTTGGGGTGAGAGCGCAGAGGGACACGGGATCCACGCGTCTTGGAGACCACCCAGGATGAGTTTGCTTTTGCCCAAGGGGGCGGGAGCGGGAAGCCCCGGGAACCGCCAGGACGGACCCCCAGCGCCGTAGAAGGCCGTTGGAGAGACCCAAGGCCCCTGGGCGCCCGAGGCGCAGATAGACTGAGTGCTCGTCAGGAGATGCTCAGTGCGGTCCGGGTGTGCGGAGACCGTGTCTCCGGCCCACCCTGCGGCCCGAGCGGGGAAAAACCCATGCCGACGGCTGGAGGGGGGGAGTGTGCATTGATATCGTGGACCTTGAACTTGCCAGAAAGCGCGGGGCTCTGGAACTGGAAGGACCCAGGTAAATTCCATCTCTATCACCTGTAGTCAGGGACTATATAAGTAAACTGGAGCCAGGTTTCTTATCTGAAAATGAGGTATTAATGACTGTTAACGTGGCGTTCTGAGAGTTAGATGTCATGTATAAAGCATGTATCCAGGTGTCATCAATAAGAGCAAGTGATTACTATTAGAAGACACTTTGTTCCTTTTGTTGAGTGACTTAGAAAATCTCACAACCATCCTGTGAGATCGACATAATCACCTGAATTTTTTTTTTTTAATAATGCATTATTTTAAAAACCGAGATCAGGATAGTGAAATGATACTCTCAAGGCTCAAGCTAGCCAGTGATGGAGCTTGTATTCAAAGACAGATGTGCTTTACTTCCAATGTCAGATCCTTTGTAGTATTGCACCTGCCTTAAAACCAGCGGTCACAGCCCTAAGCAGACTGTCTTATCCCCAAATCCTAAGGGATAAAATTTAAAGTGAATGTGGATGGAATCTCACCAAGTGGCAAATGTATTCTGAGATATTTAGTGTCTCTTCAGCTTCCTTGAATCACACTGAAGTTCCATGCCCCTCCTATGCTTGTAGGCTGTTTGTGTTTTATCTGATATTCCTAAAATGAATTTGATTCCTAGACCCAAATCTCAGCTCCCTTGTAACAGCCTCTTGTGAGGTAGGAAGGAGGGAGCCTCTGAGAACAGGAATCTTACCTGCAAGAGAACACCCCTCTGACCTTTGACCTCCCACCAGAGCTTCTGAACCGAGGCAGAAGAGCCCAGAAAGGAGCAGGTCCTGATTTGCACAGCCAGAAGCAGTTCTTGTTCCCTTTGCCCAGAGTGTGCCAGATTTGGTGATGGAGCCATTTCCAGGAGCCACCACAGGCTGTGTGACAGTAGAGGGTTTGAGTAAAGTTTGAGAAGAGTGAGGTGAGGTGAGCTGGAATGGTTTGAGTTAGATTTGAGAAGAGTGAGGTGAACTGGGATGGTTTGAGTAAAGGTTTGAGAAGAGTGAGGTGAACTGGGATGGTCCAGATGGCTAACCAGGAAAGGCTACTTCATTGGAGAGTGTCAGGGCATGCACGGTATGGGAGTGAGGGAGAACCAGCCAGAGGTGAGGAAATTGTCCTCACCTATCTCTAAACAACTCCCAAGCCCTTCATTCTCCAGTACGTCTTTACAGATCTTTTGTAGCTCTCACACGTGTCCTTCACCACATGTGACACTGGTGATATTACCCTGACCTCACAGACCCTAGAATGATGGGTCATGAAGGGTGTCCGTGGTTACTGACTTCTGACTCTTCTGAAAGGTTTAAAGAAATGGAACCTGAGAACGTCAGTGAATTGTCCAGGACCACCCAGTTTGTAACAGAGCCCGTAGGACAACACAGTGCAGTTCACTCTCTCACAGGTCAGTCACTAGAAGCCCGTTATCAAAAGGGCCTTTTGAGAAACCATAATTTGGTTAAAACAATTAAAAATCATTGCCTTAAAGCACCACCATCTCTTTTACTGGGCTTTCTGTGAACTCCTTGTAACTGAAGGAATAAACCGTTGCTAAGAAAACATAAATGATGCAGCCTGAGTATATTTTCTACTATTTCAATTTTAATAAAAGTAAGTTTGTTTAGATTTGATTTTACTCTTAGATGTGGATTGACTTCTACTGAATACTGAGTAAAGGTGTAGCTTATTTCTTTATCCTTTGATGTAATTTAAACTTAGCAGTCCTCTGTTTTCATAGTTGTTTCTGTTAATCAGTTGTAAGAATACATAAATTATTGCTAAATCAATAGAAAGAGTTTATATTCAACAATGTAAAACTTGCAAGTCCCCATGATCATTTCACAGTTGTACGTGGACAGGCGCTGCCAACTCAACGTGGTCCTTTCTATGCCTTTTCCAAGGCTAAAGGGCCATGTTCCCATAGGGAGGCTGCTCCCCAGCTGCCGAGATTTTGGAAGGTGAATTTAGTTGCTTTAAGGCTGGCCAGATCTCGTGACCCCAGTCCTTCTCTGTCCCCACAGTTGAACCTTCACAATTCTCTACACTCTCCCAGGAGCCACAGAAAATGAATAAATCTCAGGTGAGGTCTTTATTCCTTCCCCAATTTGTGTTGTAATGCGTTTACAAGGTTTATTAGGGTCCATGAATTAAATGGAAAAGAAAAAATATAAATAAATACAAGCTAATCTCGAAAGAAAGTATATCATTTTCCTATTAATTCTGATGTTTGCTTTTGGGTTTTGGTAGATAATCTTTGTCAGACAAGTAGCTTCTCTCCAGTTACAGTTTGTTTAGATTTCAGTGTAGTCATGGATGTGTATTGAGTACTTTTCCAGTATGTGTTGGAATTAAAATATGTTGTGTGTCCTTTAATCTGTGAATATTGTGAATAGAATAATGGATTTTCTAATGTTAATGTATTGTTGAATTCTTGTAGGGACCTTATTTACTACCGAGCGTGGTGAGTTACTTTTTGCATATGTTGCTGGAGTGTTTTTGCAAATACTATTTTTAGGATTTTTATTTCTGTAGCAGAAGTTAGTTTAGCCCATGATTTTCTCTTCTCATGTGCTTGTCTAGTGGTGGTATCATGGTTATAGCCTCATAAAAGGAATTGGGACATTTTCACATTCTTTTGTTTTTTCTAATAATCTACATAAGAAAATTGTCTGTTACTTGTATGTTCCGTGAAACTCACTTGTAAATGTGGGGTTTGTGGGAACTTTGTGTGAAGATTTTAATAGTAAATCACTTTATTAGTGGTCGTAGGTTTGTCATTGATGTCTATTTTTTCTTAATTACCAGTTTTGAAATGTTATTTGAACATAGAGTCTGCTGATCAAAAAAGGACAAGCTATATTCCAGTTAGTCTAATCCGAAACCTAGGAGTTCCGAGTTCGTGTATGGTTCTGGCAGTTTCTGCTGGCAGTGCACTGTAACTACTGACATTAGATGGGACACACGTCACCATTTTGGTGTCCTTCACCTCTGCACACCCAGCTGTCACTCTTTTTTGTTCTGAATAATTATTCATACTTCCATAAAACCTAGAAAGGTGTACGTTCCTAAATCCTACTGCCATCCTTTTCCCCATCTATCACAAAGTCCTCTGCCTCCTCTAGAGAACCACTTTCATTGTAAGTTTCTTGTATATCTTTCTATTGTTTAGTTATGAAAAGGCGAGCAAATGTGGATACATTTATTCTAATTTCCTCCCCATTCCTAGCAGACAGTTTGTATTTCATCTACACCTGTTTCTTATCTTGTTTTGTTTTTTTCCACATAACCATATATACTGGACACTTTTCCATAGGGACTTAGTGAACTTTCTCATTGTTTTTTGCAGCTGCATAGTATTTCATCATGTGAAAGTACTATATTTTTTCATCATCTTCTTAGGAAAGACTCTGAAATTGTTTATAATGATTAAGTTTATATATAATTTTATATTTATATATAAATATGAGAGAGTGAGAAAACTATAGGTTAAGTGCTAGAAGTGGGATTAGCTGGTCAGAGGTTAAATGCATTTTTTAAAAAAATAAAGCTGCATAATAGCATGGAGAGGGTTAGGAAGGACAGATTTTAATTTTAAATAAAGTGGTCAGGTAGGCTTTCCAAAGAGGAAAATGTTTGAGAAAACATTAAAGAAAATGAGAGAGCAAGCAACAGAGATATCTAGAAAGAGTAAAAACCAAAACCAAACCCACTGCCATTGAGTCGATTCTGACTGATAGTGATCCTGTAGGACAGAGTAGAACTGCCTCATAGGGTTTCCAAAGAGCCCCTGTTGGATTTGAACTGCCGACCTTTTGATTAGCAACCATACCTCTAAACCACTGCGCTACCAGGGCTCCAGAGAACAGTAAGTAACCTGCAAATTCCCTGAGACAAGGGGTGGGGTGCTAGAGGTGTTCTAAGAATTGCAAGCAGGCCAGTTTGGCCGGGGCAGAATAAATAAGAGGAGAGTAACAGAACAAATAAAAGGGGCAGGTCATATGGGGTATTGAAGGACATTGCAAGGAGTCTGGCTTCTACTGAAATGGAATGTTGATCCAGTCAGTTTGGAAGGTAACATGGCATGGATTCCCAAGACCTTGAGACCGTGACCTATGTGCAGGTGGTTAATGTTCGGAAGCACTCAGAGGGAAGAGGATTTGGGGTATAGGAAAGAATGGAACAGGGAGAGGAAGAAACCTGGTCCTGAAGGAACCCTCTGAGAAGCCGTAACAAATGCCCTTCAGAGGAGCCCACCTGTGAGAGGGGGTGGGGCATTATCCACTGGCCTCTGTTCTTGGTTGAGGGCTGCTCTGGGTGCCTTCAATCCCCTGCACATGCTATTACATTAATCAGTAATAGTTTCTTTGAGCATGGTAAGCATCTGAGGTGGCATCAGAGAAGACCTGGAGCAGAATGCATAGACACAGCAGGTACTTGAGGGGAGATACTGGCATGGGGGCTGGGCATGTGACACAGGGCACCTATAATCCTTGCCTCTTAGGTTCACTTGTGCCCCACTCTCAATCCCTGCTTTACCTGAGGTGATGGTTAGATACAATTTTTATATAGAAGACTGGCTACAAAATCTATATTGCACCTGGTCCCAAGGCCATAAATCACCTTTATCATCTCTTTAACAGGTATCTGATACAGGGTTTTGTTGTTGTTTATTAAAGCATAATTTTCATATAGTAGTTCACTCTTTTTAAGGAGCTTTGGTGGTGCAGTAGGTAATCACTCAGCTGCTAACCCAAAGGTCAGTGGTTCAAACCCACCAGCTATTCCACAGGAGAGAAAGATGTGTCAGTCTGCTTCTGCAAAGATTACAGGCTTGGAAGCCCTATGTGGCAGTTCTGCTCTGTACTGTGGGGTTGATACGAGCTGGAATCAACTCGACAGCAGTGGGTTTGGTGTTTTGTTTTTTTGTTTTTTGCTTCACACCGTTTTATATTCCACCATTTTGTATTTCAGTCATTCCACATCTTTGATAGCAAGCAGTATTGCCAGGGGTTTTTTGTTTGTTTTTTGAGCTATTATACTAGGTATGTAGAATCAGACCCAGAACCAGCTGCCATCAAGTGCTACTCATGATGATCCTATGTGTGTCAGAGTAGAACAGTGCTGTATAGGGTTTTCATGGCTATGACCTTTCAGAAGCAGATTGCCAGGCCTTTCTTCTGGGGTGCCTCTGGGTGGTTTCAAACCTTCAGCCTTTTGGTTAGTAGCCCAGTGCTTAGCTATTTGTGCCACCCAGGGACTCTGTATACTAAATGTATAGTGGTATTTTACAGGAGCCCTGGTGGTGCTGTGGTTAAGCGCTCAGCTGCTAACCTAAAGGTCAGTGGTTTGAACCCACCAGCGGCTCCACAGGAAAAAGATGTGGCAGTCTGTTTCCGTAAAGATTATTGCTTTGGAAACCCTCTGGGGCAGTTCTCTGTCTGTAGGGCCACTGAATCTGAATCAACTCAATGGCAGTGGGTATGGGTAGTGGTATTTTATTTTAGTTTTAATTTGCATTTTCCTAATATCCAGTGATGAGTATCTTTTTGCTTGTCATCTGTATTTCTTAATTAGTAAATTGCCTTTTTTACTTTTTTCCCCATTCGTTTTTTAATTGTTTTGTTATTACTGAGTTTGAAGAGTTATATATTCTTGATACAGTTCGTTTTCAGATATATTTTTATAGTAGTAAAAATATATATAACACTTCAACATTTCTTACCTGTATAAATCAGTGACATTGTTCATCATCTTGTGTAACCATCACCACTGTCTGTTTCTAATTCTTTCCATCACCCTTAACTAAAACTCAGTTATCAAACATATTTTTGCAAGCACCCTTAAAACTGTTTTTTGTACATTTTACAGTTAGTAATATGTACTGTATACAGTGTTGCAGCACATAATTTTCTGATGTTCTCATTCTCAAATGTTCGCCCGCAAATGTTCAGTGTTATGATTTACAGTGAAAGGATTAACTGAAGTTTTTTCTAAACTAAATCAGGGGCTTCAGTTGCTTGAAAACGTGGACCTAACCACTGATCGCTTTGCTAAAGTCGATAGGCAGGTTTGGGAAGCAGTAAGATTTTACCGTGAAATATATGAAGGAAAAAAGAAAAGGACCACACAGATAACTCTCACTGATTTTCTGACTGGAAATGCTATCCGCATTACCAGGGATAATCCAGACGATCCAGAAACTTCCACAAGTGGAGTTATTACTGCAGGTGACAAAATGCCAGTGCTGTCCAACTCTTCTTCATTGTTGGAGTAAATTTTTGTGATTTGTGTGTTTTTTAATGTATGTATGTATGAAAATATATCTGTAAGTTTATGTGTAATGTTTCCAAACCCCGAAAGACAAATAAAGATTGGATTTATGAAGATACTGATAATAAAAGGCAATAGCAATGAAAACTTAAAAAAAAAGGTATTTAGCTTATGTCAGAACCAATTTATGACAGAGTCCTCGAAACAAAACCCAGTTTTAATTTGGGGACTACCTGCATTTTCTCCCAGTTTGTGGCTTGATTTTTCATATTCTTTACAATGTCATGCAAAGAGTTGTTAGGTGCCACCAAGTCATTTTCGACTCATAGCAACCCCATGTTGACAGAGTAGAACAGCCCCATAGAGTTTCCAAGGCTGTAAATCTTTGTGGCAGCAGACTGCCACACCTTTCTCCCACAGAGTGCTGGTGGGTTTGAACTGACAGCCTTTCAGTTAGCAGCGAAGCACTTAACCACGGCGCTGCCAGGGATCCTTTTGCAAAGAGTGGAAGTTTTTAATTTATTAATTTTTCAGTTAACATTTTTTTCTTCTATGAGTTATGCTGGTTTTTTTTTTTTCCTTTCAAAAAAATCTTTAATTCAACAAAGATTTTTCCTATGTTTTTTCATGCAAGTTTTATAGTTACAGGTCTTACGTTTAGGTCTGTGATCATTTTGAGTTAATTTTTGTCTTTGGTGAAAGGAAGGGTTAAAGATTAGGTTTGTTTTTTTTTTTTTTCCTTTGCTTATGTATGTCTAATATTTCCAGCACCATTTGTTGAGAAGACTATATACTTTCTCCTTTGAATTG